CGACTAAAACAATGGGTTGATTCTGCACTACAGGCCAAAGTTTAACCCGATAAAAATATGAGATTCTTCTCAGAAATCATATGTCCAGGTCCTCTAAGAAAAAAAAAAAAAAAAAAAAAAAAAGAAGGGAAAAATAGAGAGAAGACTTAGATTTTCTCATAAATCACGGGTCCATAAAAGCACAATTTTACGGCCTACCCAGAAGAAATCGAAGAGAGAGAGAGACACAGATATAGTCACACAAAACACACCTAGAAGAAATTAAAGGAGAACAGTTCAGTGACTTTCCTCCCTGAGTTCAGATCTGAGCAAATCTAGGCCTCACTCCACACTCACAAGCCAGGTATGTTCCACTCCCACAAGCCATATAGCAGATCTAGGGCATAGCTCTTCTTTGTTGGGACTCGGGTCTTCATCATTGACTTCGCTATGAGCAGATCTTCTTCTCTCTCTTGTTCCGGTGTAGTCAATCGTTGACGACTGTGGTGTCGTGTGTTATCCTCTCTTATCTTATCTCTCTCCGTCTGTCGTTAAAAGTTAAGACTGACGCTTAGCGTCTCTCTCACTTTTTATATACTTTTTTTCTTTTATCTTTTTTTTTTCCCTGACCGATAAGTATAACTAATTTAATTTAATTCCCCACATTATAATTATAAATAAGTATAACTAATTTATAAAGAACCCTTGTTATATTTTCCACAAATTTTTTCCTTTTTGTAATTATTCTTGTATGTTATTATTATTTATTAAATTGGTATATTAAATAGCAGCATGTTATTTTATACTATGTATCTTATTTGTTAAATATCTAGAATTAAGTATTTATGTGTGTAAAAATTGTTTATGTCATAGTTGTTAAAATCGTCTAATTCACAAGTCGGATCGTACGAGTCGGTTCAATTCATGGGGTGGCCGATTTGAATCTTATGGTTGAATCGTTTTGGGTCTGGAATTGGAAGAGAATTGCACGAATCGTATGAACCGAACCAAACCGAACCGAAACTATCTTTTGATTCGTTCTCTTTTTTTTTTTAAACCCACATATGCATCAAAACGACGTCGTTTTGACTGCATAGGCAGTCAAATGATGTCGTTTGTTTGCAAGGACACATGCCCTAATAAATAACCATTCCCTCAGTCTCTTTCTCACTTTGCCTCACGTTTTTTGTTGAAGGAGATCCACGCACCACGATTGAAGCTTCATCGACCTCTGAGGTACGTCTCTTCCCCTTCTTCTTCTTCTTCTTCTTCTTCTTACCCACACCCAAACAGTAACAGCAAACCTTACATCTTTTTCAAATATTACTCTATTTTTACATAAATTATGCTTTAATTTCTGTTGTTATAGTTTCTTAGTTTATGTGTTTTTTTTCCCTATTGTTGTGGCCTATGGGTGGAGGATTTTGCAGTTATGAATGTGAGTTTCTGTATATAAACAATATGAATGTGGGTTTCAAACTTCAAATGATGCTCTGGTTTTTCACAATAGCAATATTCTGTTTTTTAAATGTTTTACTGTAATTTCTTATTTTCTATTTTTTTTTTTCGTTGTTGTGGCCTGCAGGTAGAGGATTATTTAGTTATGAATGTGGGTTTCTATATATAAAGTATAAACTGTATGAATGTGGGTTTCAAACTTCAAATGATATTCTATTTTATTGCACTGTTTTTATAATTAACGTTGCTCTGTTTTTTCATTGTTGTAGTTTCTTAGAGAATTTTTTTGTTGTTGTGGCCCGTAGGTAGAGGATTTTTTCGTCTTTGTAGTTTCAAATGATACTCAAACTTCAAAATTTGCATTGTTAATTTTTAAACTATATGCTTTATTGTTTTTTTTTTCTTTTTAGTTGTTATTGAAGACTTGAAGTTGAAAATGGTAAAGAAGAATATAAAAGTGACGCAAAAAAAGAATGAAGATCCGACATGAGATCATTGTTCTTGTGTGGGTAATAATAGAATGCACTTGAAGTGTAATTATTGTGGCCTTGATAAATGAGTTGGTGTGAGTAAACATCATTTTGCGGAGACTTGTTAGTACCATGTACCCAACGTCCACCAGATGTTACACAAAAATACCTCCAAATGTAAAAAATGAGGATCTTAATGAATGCTTCGTAGAGGATGTTGAAAGGGGACCTGAACCATGGATGCTTTTGTGAGTAAAGGCAAGGGGAAAGGTGCTAGAGGAAGACAACAAACATTAAATGAATTGGTGGAGAAAAGAAAACCGGTGATTCAAAACATATGTCATTTCTTCTATGGACATGCACTAGCTTTCAATTTAGTTAAAAGTCTATTGTTTGATAAAATGATGAAATCGGTTGGTGAGTATGACAAGGGATTAAAATTTTCTAACTATTATGAGGTTAAAGTTACTTGTTTGAAGAAAGAAATAGAAAATATTAAGGTGAGTTTGAATAAATATAGAATGGAATGGAATAAAAGTGGGTGTATTTTGATGTTAGATGGGTGGACTGATGGGAAACAACATTCATTGACAAACTTTCTTGTTAATAGCCCTAGTGGAACGAGATTTTTTAAATTGGTGGATACTTCTGGGATTATAAAGGATGCTAATAAATTGTTTGAGTTACTTGACTCAATGGTAGAGGAGATTGGAGAGGTGAATGTGGTTCAAGTGGTGACGGATAGTGCTTTGGCTCATGTAGCTGCTGGTAGGTTATTGGATAGGGTTAAGGAACAAATTGCCCAAAATTTCAAAGAAGAGAAAAAAATGTATGAAAAAATTTGGAAAATTGTTGATGATAGGTGGAACATGCAACTTAATAGACCACTTCATGCAGTGGGGTACTTTCTTAATCCCAAGTAAGTTCACAAAAACACTTCCTAATTACATTTACTCATATATAAATTGTGATCCAAATTTTAATCCTAAGTAACTTCTTTTTAGGTTCTACTATGATCCAAATTTTTAATGCCGACAAGGAAGTAAAAGTTGGCTTGTATAGGACAATTGAGAGAATGTACCTGGATATCAAAACAAGAATCTTTCTTGACAAGCAACTAGAGAAATTCAAGAGGGCTGACGGTTTATTTTCTATGAGCATGACCGTGTTAACAAGAGACAAGAAATAACCCGGTAAGAATTAAAGAACATGTTTTTACTTTTACATTATATAAAAACTAACCTATATAGGTATCTTGTTTAAATTTTTTAGTTTAAATCTCTATTTTTTATAGCTTTGTGGTGGGAAAGTTATGGAGATGATTGCAAAGAACTTCAAAGACTAGCTATAAGGGTATTAAGTCTCACGTGTAGTGTTACGGGATGTGAGAGAAATTGGAGTGTTTTTGATCATGTATATTCTAAAAAAAGGAATCGCTTGGAACACCAAAGATTAAATGCTCTCGTTTATGTGAATTACAACATTCATCTTGAAATGAGACAATTGAAAAGGCAAGAAAAGAATGAGACATATGATCCAATTTGTCTATCGGATAGGGAATTTGATGATGAGTGGATTATTGAGAGTGGACATCCATGTCTACCAGAAGACAACTCATTGATGGATGTTCATGAATGTTTTCAACTTGATGAAAGTGTATCTTCTAGCAAGAACAGAAAAAGATGTATTCTTTAATCTTTATTATTTATTATATTTATATATCGTTTGCCATTTAGTCATTTATCAATTATTATTTATAGGACCAAAGAACTTGAATGCTATTAAAATAAAGCTAAAGATGTTGAGATAGATGATGATGAAGATGATGGTATTGAACTGGTTAATGATAAGGAAACGGAAGAGGAAGAGGAAGCAGAGATGGTTGAGGTAGAAGAAGAAGATGATGATGAAGATCGTGACCTTGGAGATGATGATGATTGAAGAAATTGACTATTTCTATTTTTTTGATGAGTCTTAGAACTTGGCTTTTTTTGGTCATTCAATGTACCTTTCATTTTTTGGGACCATATGCCCATAACTTGACTTTTGATTGAAGTATAATTATAATGATAGATACATATTCTTTTGATAGATGCTTTATTTTATATTTTAGTTGGCTTGCAAGTTGCAAATAATATATAAAAATCAATCACGGTGGGACTTGAACCACATTTTCTATCCATAAAAGCTAGTGTCTTTTCATTTAGACGATGTGATTATGTCAATTAATTATTTTTACAATGTAATAATGCTCAAAATTCAATACCTTGCCTATTTTAACTATATAGATGTTATTTTTTATCTTTGTTTGAATTTTGTTTCTAATCTTACAATTTACAATTCGATACGATTCAAGATTCACAAATTTAAGATTCTGATTCACGATACAAATCTCGATTTAACAACTATGGGGTTTATGTAATGATTTTAATATTCAATTGAAATAATATTATTCATTAATTTGGTGACACAATTTAAATTAATAAAGTAGTATTATAATAACATATTGCAAGAATGAAAGTGTTAGTATTATTAATTAGTAAATTAGTATTATATTAAATTAGTATTATTAATTTGATAACATTTTAATTCAAAAGTGTTATACATTTCATAATTTATAGAATGAATATTGTATGAATAATATGTTTGATAATGTAATGGTATTTTTTTCTCTCCAACTTGATGTTATCTTGTATAAATGGATGTTAACCCAATAAATATCCTCAATTAATCAATTATTAAGCTTATCTTTATAAATAAATATATTGTATTTGTGTTTTCACGTGTTTGTATATTTTTCTGCGTTTCTATTGCGTTTTCGAAATGTTTTCGTTTTTGAGCTGACCAAAACAATACTCAAAAACGATATTTCGATCCTTGTATGCAGGTGTAATTTACTTGTCACCAAATTAATTCTGTGACAGGTTAAAGAAGGGCAAAATCTAAGGAGTGGATGGGATATAATAGTATAACCTACATGCAGATTTGCTAGAAGGCTACTTATGAAGGAAAAAAATTTGATGACTTGCTATTGCATTATTTTCTTGATAATGATGCCATAATAGGGTTCCACTTGATAGAATCTAGTGAACAATGCCTCTACCAACATCTCACTCCTACTTTGATGGATTGTCAACTTTCAAAGTTGGATCCTTCATTGGGCTGGCAGCCAAGAAAAGTGCTAATGCACTTGCAGCAAGGGCCTGCAATATTTTTTTTGCCTTGGTGGATTTAAGCAGTAGTTCTTCCATTGCTTGTGATCAGACAATTACCTCCCACATAACACTTGACCAATATGGACTGTCTACAACCTGGTACATGCCTTGTTTGCAAGACTGATTGGGGATATCGAGGATAAGCAATATCTGTTTATGCTTTCATGATGTGTGTGCAATGATAAAAGTTTTGTTTGAGTTGATCTATGTGAGCGATGATTTTCCAGATGTGCTTTTGTCTTCCAGCATTGTATCCATTTATTAGCTGCTGGTTATGTACTTTTATCCTAGGTTGTGTTTTTTAGAAGTCAGTTACTGGTTGATGTAACTTGATCCTACGTCTGCTTTGTAGAAGTTTGCTACTTCGTTCACACAGTTGGCACCTTTCGATGCTTTGTCTTCTCTTGTGTAAAGTGTTTCCTTACTGGTTATTAGGTACATACTAAAGAAGAGGTTTGATCGTGGTTCATATGGTGAAGTTTGGCTGGCTTTTCATTGGAATTGTTCCCGAGGCAGCAATGCTTCGACTTTGAGTATGAAAGAAAAAGATCTTACATCTAACACTATGCATCTTGGCGTATGTGATGAAAATTTTCCAACAAACTCATCTGCTTATGATATTAATGCTGGCGCTCCTGATGACCACATGTTCATTTTGAAGCGTATAATGGTAATTCAATTAATTAACATTTAATCTGTGTAGTTTCTCTTATATCTCCTTTTGCTGCCTGGTTATTTGTTCAAAGCTTTTACCATCATCCAGTGTGTTGTAAGGATTTAATTCCTACATTGCACTTCTAATTAGAATTAAGGTGAGGGGTTAATGTGCGTTATTCCATTTGTACAATGAGATGGTATTTGATCTGATCTCAATCTTCTAATGCATGATCTAGTGACTATGTTTTCCAATGTCTTATAGGACGCCAATAATGAGATGTGTTGAACATGATTTAAATGTATTATTCCCTTCCTTCTCTCCTAGTAAGTGTCTATGTTGGGGAAGATCAATCAAATTCAAGGAAGATCAAAGTTTTCCTGGATGATGAAAAAACTTGAGAGGAGGGGTGTGTGTGTGTGAGAGAGAGAGAGAGAGAGAGAGAGAGAGAGA